TCGATATTCATGGATTCAACCAACCTTGGCTCAATGATATTTGAAAAACAAATAAATAAGTAACAACAATGAAAACATAAATACCAATACAGTATAAGAACTATTTACATATAGCATTTACATTGGATTAGGTACTATAGGTAGGGATGATTTAAAGTATACAGAACAATGTGCATAGAAAATATGCAAATACTGGCCAGGCTGGTGGCTCACGCCTATAATCTCAGCACTTTGGGAGGCCGAGGTGGGTGGATCACGAGGTCAGGAGTTCAAGACCAGCCTGGCCAACATAGTGACACCCCATCTCTACTAAAAATACAAAAATTAGCTGAGCATGGTGGCACATGCCTGTAATTCCAGCTACTTGGGAGGCTGAGGCAGGAGAATCGCTTGAACCCAGGAGGCGGAGGTTGCAGTGAGCCAAGACCATGCCACTGCACTCCAGCCTGGCAACAGAGTGAGACTCCATCTCAAACAAACACACACACACACACACACACACACACAGTGCAAATACTATGCCATATAAGGAACCTGAGCATCCATGTGGGGGCTGGGTCCTGGAACTAATCCTCCATGGATGCTGAGTGACAATGGCATACTTGCTATTCTACTGGCAGTTCTAAACATTTGTTTGTGGTTTATTTTGGGTTTCCTAATTACACAATTGCATCTCCAATTCATGGCAGTTTTGTTTCTGCACCCATCCCTAATTCCTTACATTCCTTGTTTTCACACATTGGCTAGATGTTACTCATTTCATAAAAGTGATGCACACTCTTGTAATTTTGTTTTGTTTTTGTTTTTTACAGACAGGGTCTCACTTTGTTGCCCAGGATGGAGTACAAGGGGCATGCTCATAGCTCACTGTAGCCTTGAACTACTGGACTCAAGCTAACCTCCTGCCTCAGCCTCCTCAGTAGCTGGGACTACAGGCACATGTCACTACATCTGGCTAATCTTTTTTTTGAGATGGAGTCTTGCTCTGTCGCCCAGGCTGGAGTGCAGTGGCACAATCTTGGCTCACTGCAACTTCCACCTCCTGGGTTCAAGCAATTCTCCTGCCTCAGCCTCCCAAGTTTATGGGATTACAGGCACATGCCACCTCACCTGGCTGAGTTTTGTATTTTTAGTAGAGACAGGGTTTCACCATGTTAGCCAGGCTGGTCTTGAAATCCTGACCTCAAGTGATCTGCCCACCTTGGCTTCCCAAAGTGCTGGGATTACAGGTGTGAGCCACGGTGCCTGGCCACACCTGGCTAATCTGTCTAAAAAGTTTTTGTACAGACAGGGTCTCCCTATGTTGGCCAGGCTGGTGTCGAACTCCTGGGCTCTAGCAATCCTCCAGCCTCAGCCTCCCCAAGTGCTGGGCTTACAGGGATGAGGAACTGCACCTGCCTAATTTTACTTTAAATGAAATCTTTCTACTATTTTATCATTAAGTATGACTTGTGTTTTCAGAACGTATGTTCCAAACATGTGTTTTGGAACATATATTCCCTACCAAGTTACAGGAATTTTTATTCCCAATTTAATAGTATTTGAAAGTCATCTATGGGTATTAAATTCCATCAAGTGATTTATCAGCATATACTGAGACAATCCCTATGAGTTTTATCTGGTAATGAAGTTAATTAAAATATTTTCTAATATTAAATCTTCCAAACCTACTCTATTTTTTGAGACAGGGTCTCGCTCTGTCATCTAGGGTGGAGTAGTGGTATGATCTTGGCTCACTGCAACTTCCGCTTCCTGGATTCAAGTGATTCTCTTGCCCCAGCCTCCCAAGTAGCTGGGATTATAGGCACCTGTTACCATCCTGCTATTTTTTTGTATTTTTAGTAGACAGGGGTTTCACCATGTTGGCCAGGCTGGTCTCAAACGCCTGACCTCAAATGATCCACTCACCTTGGCCTCCTAAATTGGTGGGATTACCGCCGTGAGCCATCACACCCAGCCCAAACATACTACTTTGTTTCCATTAAGATCAGGTTCAGCCCAATTTAACAGAACCAACTCCCCTCCAATCCCAAAGAGAAAAGGTGTCTTAAGATAGTTCATTTCTCTTTCATGTAAAAGATACCAAGATGTAGGTAGTCTAAAGCTGGCAAAATAGCATCCTGTTTATCAGAGTCACATCACTTTTTCTGCTATACATTCCAGCAGATGGCCTAAATCTTCAGGATGAGTTTAAGTGCTATGATAATTGCTGAATCTCCTACACCATCGGAGATTAAATAATGCAGATAAAAAAGAAAAAATGTTAAAAGGCACAAAGGGACTTTCCCCAGTTGTCTGCTTACCTTTTTAAGGGACCTTCCCATTAGATCTTCTCAACAACTTCCATTATTCAAAACTTAGTAGCATGGCCACACTTAGCAGCAAAGACAGTAAAAAAAAAATAATATATATATATATGCAGTATATATACACAAATATATGCAGTGTATATACACACATATATGCAGTATGTATATAACACATACATATGCAGTATATATACACACACACATACATACACACACACACTGCCACCACACATGGCTAATTTTTGTATTTTCAGTAGAGATGGTTTCACTGTGTTGGCCAGGCTGGTCTCGAACTCCTGACCTCAGGTGATCCGCCCACTTCAGCCTCCCAAAGTGCTGGGATTACAGGTGTGAGCCACTGTGCCTGGCCCTATCTCTCTCTTTTTAAGTGCGCACACTGCCATTATAAATAATAGTGATTCTGCTGGTAATGAACAAAGGAGGTTGGATCCACTAATAGTCTGTTAAACCTAATAATATCATGACTTTCTTGTTATTAGCTATACATTGCTTTGCTATAATTCCACTTAGAATTTTTAAATCTATGTTTACCAATATGGTTTGCAAGTCGTTTTTTCTCCTAAATTCCTATTTGATGGGGAAGTTGTAAAATACTGGGGTTATCTTTTCCTTGGATTTTTCTTGTAACTAATAATTATTCCTGAAAAGTCTCTGGAATGTCTTTTTTTTTTTTCTGGGACTGGGGTAGAAAGAGTAGGTAGATTTACAAACCAGTGACTCAATTTCTATTTTGTAAAATTTTCATTTCATTAAACAGTATTAAGTCCTAATCAAGTATTATTCTTTCCCACAGTATCTGAGTGCTGTCCTCAATACTGTCAACACTTCTGGCTTCCACCAAGCAAGGCTGCATGTAGACTAGCAACAAACTAAAATCTAACCCTAGGTAGTAGTAAGCTGAATATAAATTTTCTCTTATGAATTTATTCTGTCTTCTTTGGTACATCAATAATAATATACACCTTTACAGTATTTCCCAGATTGGGGGATACACTTTAGCAAATATCTGCAATTATTTGTTTATGTAAGATTTCTCTTCCCTTCTGTGAATCAACATTCTTCACCCAAGGTATCTTGAGGTTGGATTCTGTATAAGCAGAACACAACAATAGTTAGGTATTCAGAAACCATTAAAATTCCTCACCTTCAAGGACGAAAATTTCTTTGGGTAAGAGACAGGGTTCCCTCCTCTAATAGAGTACAAAGCAGAAGGTGTTTCAGAAATATTTGCAGGGTTGAATCCTCATATTCCTCCAAGATAGCCCTAATCTAACTGCCAGGGTTGCACTATTCACAGATTAATGCCCACTCACCTAACAAACCTGATGAGGTAGTGAATAAAACTAATTTTGTGAGTAAGCAACTGGCAGAATTTTTCACCACTCTGACTCTACAGCTACACATAACTAAGTAGTATCACTGATGACATGCAATTTTAAATTGAAGTTTTAAGATCATTATATACATGAGTATCAAAAGCAGTCCCTCTTGACCACACTCCAGAATTGTTTAAATTTTTTCAGTGACAACTTATCCATTTCCCCAGAGCCTCAGTGAGCACATGATGCCAACAATTCATTTCATGACTTCATAGCATAGGCCAAGTTTCTGCTGTGGAATATAAATGGAGACTTGAAGGACTTCCATCCTGTCTTGGGAAACAGCCGTTTCCAAATATCCACATATCCTTGCAAGCTTCTGCCTACACCTCTCTCTACCACCCATTTCTGAAGCAGTCTGATTTAGTAAGCTGTATGCAACAGATACACAATGGCTAATACAATCCAACAAGGAATGTATTAAAAGCACACCCAATAGCTCAAAATAAAAGACAAGTGAACAAGGTTAAGAAAATGACAGTAACAAAAGCTGTTCTAGGAACCTCTACTGAAATAGCTACTTATTACATCAAGATGCCACCATAGAACAAAAGCTCATCTTGCTTTTTCTGAACCTGAAAAACCTGTTAACCATGTACAGTTCTGAGCCTCAGCTGACAACAGTGCTCATGCCAAGTCCCTGGCAGGGCATCTTGAATGGTGGTTCCATCATGACTGCATATACTGTGAGGGAATGTTTCTCTAAGAGGAAATCAAGATGTTCTAACCAGTGACGGTAGAATACATTCCAGGCTACACAAACACATGAAGTGTGCCTTATATTGATTACTATAACTAAAGACGTTGCTGCCAAGGCTGCTTCCAAAGGGCAGAAGATACACAAGAAAATGTTTGCAGTGTGGAAATGCATTTTTACTAAGTCATTCTAGTAACAAGTTGTATTTGGTAAGCCACAAAGAAACAATGTTGGTATGCAGAGTAGAAATCTCTGGAAGATATTTACTTTTGTCTCACATACGGCATTCACAAGTAAAATGCCAAACTGCCAAATTCATATTATGTAGTACACATAGGAAGATATCTAAATATCCCTGCAGGCTCTGGTATGTAACTTCTTCTTGTTAACCTCCTTACTAGATTCACTTGTACAATGAAATAATCTGTATCTTATTTATAATTTACTCAAATCTTTTCCTGAAAATTTGGAACACCTGGAATAAAATTTCTCTTAAAATTATTCCAAAAGGAAATCATTCTTCAAAATTAATATTAAAATATAATAATAGGTTGGGGGTTTTTTTTAGAATGAAGCTTTTGATATAAGGTGAGGTTAACAGTCCAGCTGTGGCTTATATGGTACATTCATAGATGTTCACTCCTGTATTTTTTCCCTAGGGGTCTGTCATTTCCAGATTTAAACTTTCCCTTACAGCATGGTTCCTCCAAGGTATATGCTTCCGATACATAAAATGTTTGTACTTTTGTTAATTCTGCTATTCATTAGCTCAATAATTTCTCTCATTAAAATCCTGTAAACTATGAATTTCAAAGAAGTCTATTCTATATTCATCTGGTTCATGAAGTTTCCTCTTTGTGAATCTTATGTTAATAAATGACTTTACAACATTTGTTTAACATGGTTCCTCACCTGTATGAACTTTTTAAAAAAGGTATGACTTGCTGCTGAGAATTTTCAGTGGTTACTAAATTCAGTTTTCTGTGTATTTTCTACTATTTTTTCTGCATGTAAAGAACAGCTTTCTGTAGATGCCTTTCCATATGCTGTGTATTCATGAAGTTTCTATTCAGTATGAGTTTTCTGGAAGATGACAAGATGATTCCACTTACAGAGTTTCTCTTTATATATGACTTTGTGATTTCTTGTGAATTCACTTTCTGGAGTTTCATAAAATTATCAATGTTTGTCATCTACATGAGTTCTCTGATGCATAATGAGCTGTGACTTCCAACAAAAGGCTTTCCCACACTCAGTGCACTTACAAGGCTTCTCTCCTGTATGTGTTCTCTGATGTGCACTGAGAATTGATTTTTGAGAGAAGGTTTTCCCACACTCATTGCACCCATAGGGTTTCTCTCCTGAATGAGTTCTCTGATGTACAATGAGCTGAGAATTCCTAATGAAGGCTTTTCCACACTCACTGCATTCATATGGTTTCTCTCTTGTGTGCATTCTCTGGTGTACAAGAAGGCGTAGCTTCCCACTGAAGGATTTCTCACATTGACTGCATTTATAAGGGTTTACCCTTGCATGAGTTCGCTCATGTACAATGAGTAGTGACTTCCAAATGAAGGCTTTCCCACATTCATTACATTCATATGGTTTCTCACCTGAATGAGTTCTCATGTGTATAATTAGGTATGACTTGCTGCTAAAAGCTTTCCCACATTCACTGCACCCATAAGGCTTTTCCCCCACATGAGTTCGCTGATGTGAAATGAGCTGGTCTTTCCTATTAAAGGCTTTTCCACATTCACTGCATTCATAGGGATTTTCCCCAGTGTGAATTCTCTGATGCACAATGAGTTGTGAATTGAAACTAAAGGATTTCCCACATTCCCTGCACTCATGTGGTTTCTCTCCTGTATGAGTTCTCGTATGTATAATAAGGTATGACTTGCTCCTGAAGGCTTTCCCACACTCACTGCATCCATATGGTTTTACTCCTGTGTGACTTCTCTGATGTACAATGAGCTGGGACTTCAAACTAAAGGTTTTTTCACACTGACTGCATCCATAGGGCTTTACTCCAGTGTGCACTCCTTGATGTACAATGAGCTGCGATTTGAACGTAAAGGCTTTTCCACATTCATTACAACCATAGGGTTTCTCTCCTGTATGAGTTCTCTGATGTACAATCAGGTTTGACTTTGTATTAAAGGCTTTCGGACACTCACTACATTCAAATGGTTTCTCCCCTGTATGAGTTCTCTGGTGTATAATAAGCTGTGACTTTAAACCAAAAGCTTTTCCACAGTCGGTGCATTCATAAGGCTTCTCTCCTGCATGAGTTCTCTGGTGTGAAATAAGCTGGTATTTCCGACTGAAGGCTTTCCCACATTCGTGGCATTCATAGGGGTTCTCTCCTGTATGAATCCTCTGATGTATAATGAGCTGTGATTTAAAACTGAAGGCTTTCCCACAATCGTTGCATTCATGGAGTTTTTCTCCTGTATGAGTCCTTGTATGTATAATAAGGTAAGACTTGCTCCTGAAGGCTTTGCCGCATTCGTTGCATACATAAGGTTTCATTCCTGTGTGACTTCTCTGATGTACAATGAGCTGTGATTTCAAACTGAATGCTTTCCCACACTGAATACACCCATAGGGCTTTACTCCTGTGTGAATCCCCTGATGTACAATGAGCTGTGATTTGAATGTAAAGGCTTTTCCACAATCACTACAAACATAAGGTTTCTCCCCTGTATGGGTTCTCTGATGTACCATAAGGTTTGACTTTGTATTAAAGGCTTTCTGACATTCATTGCATTCATATGGTTTCTCTCCTGTATGAATTCTTTCATGTATAATGAGCTGTGATTTTAAACCAAAAGCTTTCCCACATTCATTACACACATATGGTTTCCGTCCTGTATGAATTCTTTCATGTATAATGAGCTGTGATTTTAAACCAAAAGCTTTCCCACATTCATTACACACATATGGTTTCCATCCTGAATGAGTTTTCTGGTGTGAAACAAGCTGGTCTTTCCTACTGAAGACTTTCCCACATTCACAGCACTCATAGGGATTCTCACCTGTGTGGATTCTCTGATGTATAACAAGTTGTGAATTGAAACTGAATGTTTTCCCACATTCACCACATTCATGCAGTTTCTCTCCTGTATGAATTCTCTGATGTACAATGAGGTATGATTTACTACTGAAGTCTTTCCCACATTCATTACACCCATAGGGTTTCTCTTCTGCATGAGTTCGCTGATGCACTACAAGGTATGACTTGCTGCTGAAGGCTTTCTTACAATAGCTACATCCAAAGGGTTTTTCGCCCATATACACTTGTTGGCACATAAGTTGCGATTTCTTATTGACAGCTTTTCCAGATTCATTACTTTCACAGTATTTTATTCCTATAACAGTTTGCTCCTGTTTAGAATGGAAGAATGATTTTTCATGTACCTGAAACTCATTAGGATTTTTTCCAGCACAATTACTAGTGAAATCTATATATTTCAAACCCTTTTCATGCGTGCCACATTTATGAGGTTTTTGTCTTGAAAGATAATTTGTACTAAGAAGACATAGTTTTCCAAATGTAGTGCATTCAAAGCTTTTTGCCATACTTCCCAGCTTGTCTTTATTTTCCTGATGCCATTCCATAAGATCATCAATTTTCCAGACTGTGTCTAGAAATGAGAACAATTAGTCATATGTTATAAATAATAACATGATTGTAGTATACTAGAAAGTTGCCTATGAAATGCCATATCATGAGGTTTTTTAGCTCCAGATATCAGATCTGAATAGAAATAAATTCTCAGGTGTAAAAACACTCAAACTACTGGGTACTGAGAAAAATAAAGAAAAACCAAACTGAAGATAGGCACAGTAAACTGATAAGAAGTTGAAAAGTTTTGCATATCGGATAAAGAAGGCAAAATAGGCACAAGGAACAATGAAGATAATATAAAGATGTCATTAGGGATCTATGAACATTTGATTTATTCAAAAAATAATTATTAAATGCCTACTATGTGCCAAAAACTATGCTACCTTCTAAAGAAATGGCAGAGAATAATGCAGATTACTGCCCAGTCCTCCTGGGAATAACATCTCAATACCTAGCAAATGGATAAAAATAAACTGAGAGGGAACATCATTCCCTAACAGGACAAGAAGCAGTTCTTAAAACTATTCAGAGAAATCAAAACCGAAACAAAAAGCTTCCTACAATGTAACAAAGATTAGAATGCCATCAGACTTCTCATTAGGAAAACTAGAGGACAGAAAACAGAGCAATGAGGAATAAAGTCAAAACATTTTCAGATACAGAGGTCTCAATGTTTCTATCACCCTTTTCCAGGAAGCTACTCGAGTTGCTCCAAGAAAAGAAATGACAGAGGATATAGAAAATAAAATCAAAAAGGAGATCCTAGGATAAAAATTGCACAGAAAGTCTTAAGAAAAACTAAGCTACTCTGAAGGAAGTCAGAAAAACTTAGCAGTCAGTATCACTAGGAAGAAAAAAGGAATAACATTAATAATTTGGCTGAAAGTATCAGCCAAGAATATTCAGATACTGAAAGGAGAGTCTGCAGTTAAATATATGATTAATACCTTAATGATAACAAAACTAAACAAGCAAAAACTTAACTACTGAAAAAAATACAAATTTAGAAACAAAAATAAATCACTGTATACTTTCATGATTTACCTATAAACAGAAATTACAGTCATACCAACATAAAAATTGAAGACAGATCTAACCAAAAACATGAAATAACTGTATCAGAATGCTGGAGGTATGGGAACACGCGAAGAGACATGTCTCCATCATGAGTGTGCATACAGTGGGAAGGTACGGACGGAGAAGAGTGAAAAAGAAGTAAATCACCTTTCTATACTGAGCAATCATTAGGGGAGAAAGCCAAGGTGTAGCAGAATAAGCTGGTTATTTAGAAATATGGAGGCAACTACCACACGAGTTAAAAAGAGACTGAAGATGTTTTCTCTAGCAGTCATGGAAAAGAATGGGCACAGGGTAGGCAAACAGCTGTTTGACACTGAAGCCATCCTAACTATCAAATCCTATATTTTATCCTTCCATTCCTTCTGTTGCTGGTAACATACCCATCCTTATCTTTGCTTGGTTCCTATAGCTCTGCTTTCATCATTTGAAATCTAATGTATCTTCTCTACAGCATGCTCTTTGTAACAATAATGGCAAAAATAGGATTATACTTGACACCCCAAGGTGGAGTTCAAAGAATTTTAAAAATCAGGGAATACCAAACCCAGTAACTAAAAGACAGGCTTCTTTTTTTTTCTTTAGATGGAATCTCACTCTGTCACCAGGCTGAGGGCAGTGGTGTGATGTAGGCTCACTACAATCTCCACCTCCCAGGTTCAAGCAATTCTCCTGACTCAGCCTCCCGAGTAGCTGGGATTACAGGCATGCATCACCACATCCAGCTAATTTTTGTATTTTTAGTAGAGATGGGGTTTCACCATGTTGGCCAGGATGGTCTTGATCTCTTGACCTCATGATCCACCTGCCTCAGCCTCCCAAAGTGCTGGGATTACAGGCATGAGCCAGAGTGTCTGGCCTTTTTTTTTTTTTTTTTTAAAGAGACAGGGTTTGCCAGGCGCAGTGGCTCATGTCTGTAATCCCAACGCCTTGGGAGGCCGAGGTGGGCAGATCACCTGAGGTCAGGAGCTCAAGACCAGCCTGACCAACATGGTGAAACCCTGTCTAAAAACACAAAAATCAGCCAGGTGTGGTGGCACGTACCTGTAATCCCTGCTACTCAGGTGAGGCAGGAGGATCGCTGGAACCTCGGAGGTGGAGGATGCAGTGAGCCAAGACTGCACCACTGCACTCCAGCCTAGGCAACAGACCAAGACTCCATCTCAAAACAAAACAAAACAGAACAAAACAAGAGACTGGATCCCTCTCTGTCACCCAGATTCAAGTGCAGTGGTGCAATCATCGCTCACTGCATCTCCAACCTCCCAGACTCAATTGATCCTCCCACTTCAACATCCCAAGTAACTGGGACCACTGGCAACAGCCATCATGACCAGCTAATTTTTAAAAATTTTTGGTAAAGCTGGGGTTTCACTATATTGCCCAAGCTGGTCTTAAGCTCTTGGCCTCAAGTGATCCTCCTACCTTGGCCTCCCAAACTGCTGGGATCACAGACAAATGCCACTGCACCCGGCCCAGGCATTCTAAAGCTTGAAAATTATTTAAATATGATTCAAGACCATATTAAATATGGTTCCTAGCTGTGGTCCAAAGGCAATCACTGGGAACCCAAATAAACACCAAGAGAATTGAGATTCTGAAGCTACAGAAAAGCAGTCTCCCCAGTGACCATCTTGAGTTTAATCACAGATGATTATGGAAAAGGAAATTATGCTTGCAGAGCAGAAACAAAGGTTCCTCAGGTAGCTTATTTCACTGCCACAGAAAGAAATCCTGACAAAGCCTACAGTGTAAACCAGTGGCTACCATGTGGTGTTCACTGCTGCTGCCCTCCTGGAACTGGGGGACCCTAGACTTGTCTCTATCCCTCTACATTTGGATGACTGGATGTGTTTAATTTATCTTTAATTATAGGTCTATAGACCATAAATAACTACTCCCAGCTCTGAATGGGAACAGGAACCTAGACTTTTATTAATGTAGTACAAGAATAAACATATGGGTTGCAGAAAATATTTGAAGATGGATGGCTGGGAAGAAGGGTGTGACAGGTGCTGCCTGGCCAAGGAAGGTGAAGGCAGACAGTGCTGCTTACCCAGTGGTTCTTCTGCCCTGTTCCTGGCTGGCAGTAACCTGATTCTTTTCCACCCCCATCCTTACGGTGATGTGCTTCAGTCCGGGAAGTGAGGACCCATTTCTATCCCCAGCCTGGCTTCCAACAGGTAAAGCATAATTTATCTAAGCCAACAGAGATAGCCCCATTTGCCTTTCCAGAGCCTTCCTCAGACAGGGGCATGTGACAAAAATTTAGCCTGTTGAACACGATCAGTCTGCTTGAGACCTCCTGGGATGAGTTTTCCTGTCTGACAGACTCATGTGTGAAGAAACAGCCCTTTTTATTTCACTAGCCACTGGTATATCCACAGGCATCAACTAGAACTGCAAGAGCCATCTGAGGACCATTAAAGAAGATAACCTAAGGAAAATGCCAACATACCTAGATGGGCCCTTGGTGATTGAGTGAGTCAATCACTTAGTTGATCCTGGAGCTGCCCCACCTCAGGACTTTTTGTGATGTGTAATAATAAATCACTCCTTAAATTAGTTGGTCTGGGATTGACCAACAACTGCAGCTGAAGCAATCCTAGTAATACAAGGACTAACTGTTGATTTATGCTGTCAAGCTAGTGATAGAATAAATGGGGTGTTCAGGGAAACCTATCTGACAGTAACACCGAAGATGAATTAGAATAAAAAGAGTAAAATGAATAAATTTAGCTAAGTACAACAATCCAGACACGACAACATTGGCCTCTTTTTGAGTGGGAATTGAGACAATGAGGGTTTTAAAAGACCTCTTTTTAAAGGAACAAAATGCTAACAGACTGTACCAAAACTAGTAAGGGAGCCCTGCACAGAAAGGAAATTCAAGCTGACTTATCCAGTGTTAGGAAAAAAACCTTAAAATGGAAGAAACAGCAGGATGAACAAAAAGAAAGATGAAAAGAAGGTGGTATGTAGGTGGCTATGGAGCAGTGGGAGAGACAATTTCAGTTTCTGAAAATGAAGCCAGGGAGTGGTACAAGGAAGATGCCAGTGAATCAATCTAACCCAGGACCAAAGGGCAGATAAAAGACCGTTGTGGCTATCAATTACCAGTAGAGGAAAAGAGCTTAAATCTTCAGAATGGAAGCTGTTAAGGTCTGAATGTGTCCCCTCTAAAATTCATGTTGAAACTTAATCCCCATTGTGGTGGTATTAAGAAGAGAAGACAAAGTCCTGCCCTGATGAATGGATTAGTGGTTTCTAAAAGGGCTTGAGGGAACGATCTTAGGCCTGTCTTGCCCCTCTTTCTGTCCCCCAGTGTTCCTCACCTCCAGAGGATGCAGCAACAAGGAGTCATCTTGGAAGCACAGAGCAGGCCCTCACCAGACACCAAACCTGCCAGCACCTTGGCTTTGGACTTTCCAGCCTTCAAAACTGTGAGAAATAAATTTCTGTGCTTTATAAAATTACCTAGTCTGTAGTATTTTATTATAGCAACACAAATGGCCTCACACAGAAGTCTTCTTTTTTGAGATGAGATCTCGCTATCACCCAGGCCAGAGTCTAGTGGCACAATCATAGTTCACTGCAGCATCAACTTCCTGGGCTCAAGCAATCCTCCTACCTCAGCCTCCCAAGGAGCTGGGACAACAGGTGCACACCACCGTGCTCAGCTAATACGTGAGCCTTTTAAAAGTTACACTATATGAGGGAAATGAATAAAGACCCCTTGGATTCAGAAGAGCAAGACAAGCCCAGGAGAACATGAAGGGAAAAAGTGCTTGGTCATGCAGCACAAGAGCAGGATCCACAGGTGTCACTGCAGGATCACGGACACTATCAAATGACAAAGGAATGTGCTCAGAAGGTACAGAGTGATTAATGTTAAAGCCATTAGCAAGGCCGGGCGCGGTGGCTGATGCCTGTAATCCTAGCACTTTGAAAGGCTGAGGTGGGTGGATCATGAAGTCAGGAGATCGAGACCATCCTGGCTAACATGGTGAAACCCTGCCTCTACTAAAAAGACCAAAAATTAGCCAGGCTTGGTGGCGGGTGCCTGTAGTTCCAGCTACTCGGAAGGCTGAGGCAGGAGAATGGCGTGAACCCGGGAGGCAGAGTTTGAAGTGAGCCCAGATCGTGCCACTGCACTCCAGCCTGGGCGACAGAGTGACACTCTGTCTCAAAAAAAAAAAAAAAAAAAAGGCCATTAGCATAGAGAAGCATAAAAGGGGTAGAATCTACTAACAGGTTTCAAAAAGAAGGAAGATGGGACTGTGGCTGTTGAATTTATGTGTAAGGGATTTAAACGTAATTTTCAAACTATAGAAAGGAAAGAGAAGGAGTATGAGAGTCACATCAAGTGAAGGAAAGAGGAAAGGTTTGCTAAAATGCATAATGAAGTGAGTCTATCACCAAGACAGAGTAAGGAGGGAAATAAGGACGCCAACCAGAAGATTAAGAGTGGATGGTAAGGCTGGGCGTGGTGGCTCATGCCTGTAATCCCAGCACTTCAGGAGGCTGAGGCAGGCAAATCACTTGAGGTCAGGAGTTCGAGACCAGCCTGGCCAACATGGCGAAACCCCGTCTCAACTAAAAATACAAAAATTAGCTGGGCGTGGTGGCGCACAACTGTAATCCCAGCTACTCAGGAGGCTGACGCAGAAGAACTGCTTGAACCCAGGAGGCAGAGGATGCAGCGAGCCGAGATCATGTCACTACACTCCAACCTGGGAAACAGAGTGAAACTCTGTCTCAAAAAAAAAAAAAAAAAAAAAAAAGAGCGCATGGTAATACGTGAGGCACAGTACAAACAAGAGGAGCACATCACATTAGAATTCATGCTAATTCTGAATAACGAGGAAAAGATTTGTCTCCATCACTCACTTGGACAGGACTGATTTGGAATTTGGGCCTGCACCACACACAGCTCCTCTCCTTGTTCCAACTTGAAGATGATATCAGGTTTGGTGTGTTGATACCCTATAAACAGAAAATCACAGACAACCTGGAACAAACAGGTTGGGATTCAGAGATTCTGAAGAATGGGGAAGATTTGGTTTGGAGGTAGCATGATGAAGCTGCCTTGTTGCAATTTGGCAAAGTAAAGACCATTCAACTGGCATACTCTGCTGCCAACAGGGAACTAAGAAAATCTGGCCTTAAAATCTAAGTCCAAAATCACTAAGTATTTCACAGAAGGCCTCCAGTTTTCAGCAACCAAGAAGAAGCCTGGAGATCAAGCACACACCGCCTCAGGGAGGCAGCACTTACCTAGGGACACCAGGTTGCTATAGTTCTCCAACATCACATTCCTGTACAGGCACTTCTGTGCTGGGTCTAGCAGCTGCCACTCCTCCCAGGTAAAATCCACAAACACATCCATGAATGACAATGGTCCCTGAAATACAATACTCTCATCCAATCTCAAGTTATTTTACTAGGTTTGTGGAAAACTAGCTGCTTAGGGTGTCTATTACTGATGTTCAACTTTGTGAGAACAAAAATTGTACTGAAAACATGCATCAATGTGCATCAAATCAGTCATCTTTCTTTTTTTTTTTTTTCGTTGAGATGGAGTCTTGCTCTGTTGCTCAGCCTGGAGTGCAGTGGTGTGATCTTGGCTCACTACAAGCTCCGCCTCCCGGGTTCACGCCATTCTCCTGCCTCAGCCTCCTTAGTAGCTGGGACTACAGGTGCCCACCACCACACTTGGCTAATTTTTTGTATTTTTAGTAGAGATGGGGTTTCACCGTGTTAGCCAGGATGGTCTCGATCTCCTGACCTCATTATCTGCCCGCCTGGGCCTCCCACAATGCTGGGATTACAGGTGTGAACCACCGCGCCTGGCCGTAAATCAGTCATCTTTCATTTAACAGTTGACAACTAGATAAACTCTCTTTAACAAATGCAATAAACTCTCTTTAAAGTTTTAAGCTATCCTAGAAACCATCTATACAAGGGTTCTCAGACATGGGACATTCAGTACTAAAGCCAGGACAGTCAGACAAAGAAGTTCGAATGATCACTCCTACATCTGCAATACAGTTACCGACCTCTGGGTGCCGGGAATATAAAAATGAATGAAATAGAGTCCTGCCCCCAAGAAGCATTCAGCACTGCACAAGGAAGGAAAGCTACATATGCAAATGCAACTGGAAGTCAACGAAGTTAAAATAAAAGAACACAGATTACAACATGGGCACAAAGGAAGAAGTAAGCAATGCTATTTGACAGGGTCAGGTGGAATCTGTGAAAGGGTACTATAGGTACCTAGAAGAAAAGACACATTAAAACTTTATGGACTAAAAAGGTAACTGCCGTAAGTAGCAGCCACTCTGTGGGATAAAAGACCTAGACATGAAAATATACAGATGGTAAATGAGCATACAAGGCATGCTCAATGCCATATGTCATTAGGGAATTGCAAATCTAGACAAAAGTAAGACACCACTACACATCTACGAGAATGGATAAAATCCAAAAAACTGACCACCAAATGCTGGAGAGGATGTGGAGCAACAGGAACTCTTATTCATTGCTGGTGGGAATGAAAAGTGGCAGAGTCTCTTTGGAAGCCAGTTTGGCAACTTCTCACAAATCTAAACAGTCTTACCATATAATCCAGCAACTACGCCCTAGGTATTTATACAAATGAAATGAAAACTTACATTAAAACAAAAAGAGAAGACATACATGGCAAGTATCACATATGAAAAGAAGTTATCATTACTGAACCCACAGACATGAAAAGACAAACTACTCTATGCACATAAATTTGGTAAGTTAGATGAAAAGGACATATTCCTTGGAAGACATAAATTACCAAACTTACTCAAGAACAGATAAACGGGCCAGGATGGCTCACGCCGGTAATCCCAGCACTTTAGGAGGCCAAGGCAGGCAGATCACGAAGTCAGGAGAACAAGACTATCCTGGCTAACACAGTAAAACCCCGTCTCTACTAAAACTACAAAAAAGAAGCTGGGCATGGTGGCACACACCTGTAGTCCTAGCTACTCAGGAGGCTAAGGCAGGAGACTCACTTGAACCCGGGAAGCAGAGGTTACAGTCAGCCAAGATCGTGCTACTGTATTCCAGCCTAGGCGACAGAGTGAGACACCATCTCAAAACAACAAACAAACAAACAAATAGATAAGCTTAATTAATAATTATATATCTATTAAAGGAATAAAATTTGGGCCAGGCGCAGTGGTTCACACCTGTAATCCCAGCACTTTGGGAGGCCGAGGCGGGTGCATCACGAGGTCAGGAGATCGAGACCATCCTGGCTAACACAGTGAAACCCCATCTCTACTAAAAATATAAAAAATTAGCCAGACGTGGTGGTGGGCACCTGTAGTCCCAGCTACTCAGGAGGCTGAGGCAGGAGAATGGCGTGAATTTGGGAGGCGGAGCTTGCAGTGAGCCAAGATGGTGCCACTGCACTCCAGCCTGGGTGACAGAGTGAGACTCCATCTCAAAAAAAAGAAAAAAAAAAGAAATAAAATTTGCAGTTAACATCATACAGATTGGAAAGAAACAAAACTGTCCTTTTTTACAGAGAGAGTAAGAAGGAAACTGACGATGTCAACAAAAAGATTAAGATGACATGACTGTTTACAAAGAAAATACCAAAAAATCTAAGACAGTTCCTAGAACTAACGAGTGAATGTAGCAAGGTCACAGGATACATGGTCAATACATAAAAGTTGGCTATACGTCTACATAACAGCAATAAATCATTTTATTTTGTAATTAAGAAACTGGCTGGTGCCATGGCTCACACCTGTAATCCCAGCATTTTAGGAGGCCGAGGGAGGTGGATCACTTGAGGTCAGGAGTTTGAAAGCAGCCTGGCCAACATGGCGAAACCCTGTCTCTACTAAAAATACAAAAATTAGCCGGGTGTGGTAGTGCGCACCTGTAGTCCCAGCTACTCAGGAGGCTGAGGCGGGAAAACTGCTTGAACCCAGGAGGCGGAGGGTGCAGTGAGCCCAGATCGTGCCACTGCACTCCAGCCTGAGTGACGGAGCAAGACTCCTCAAAAAAAA